ATGTGCCGGTGTTTGATGAGGGTGCAATTACGGTTGAATCTCTTCCCGCGTTCAGGGCAGAGAAAGGGCCTCTCATCTGTGTGAATCCGCTGATGCCTGACGAGAGTGGAGCTGATCTGAAATATCTTCCTGCATTTATCACACTCGTAGGGCCTCTCCCCTGTGTGGATTCTCTGGTGGACAATCAGCATGGAGTGCTCGAAGAAGCTCTTTCCACACTCCCCACACTCATAGGGCTGTTCCCCGGTGTGGATTCTCACGTAGCGGATCAGGGAGGATCTCAGGGAGAAGCTCTTCCCACATTCTGAGCACTTGTGGGGCTTCTCCCCATCCTGAAGCTGCTCATCGACCCCCAGATCCGAGCTCCAGCCACCTCCCTGGTCCAGGTTGGGTCTTTCCTCCTCAGATCCCTGTGATCTGTGTTTACAGCCCCTCCTCGTGCGTGTTCTCCAGGACTTTTCCTCCCCGCTGGGTTCCTGCACTGTGGAGCCACTCAAAACAGCTTCTTCTATGAGGTTCTGCTGTGGGGATTTGTCCTCCCTACTCTCCATCCTCAGCTCCTTGTCTGGGATAGGAAGGACAAGGAAAGGATGTGATTTGCCTCCGTGCCACAGGGAAGGGCAAGGAGATGCCCCCAGTGCGTCCCCAGCAGGACAGCTTTGGCAGCAGGGTTCTCCTGCAGCCGGGGGCCGTGCTGGGCTGGGAGATGGAGCAGGAGAGAGGGGGAAAGGGGCACTGACTTCCTCCTCCCCTACCTGGGCCTCCCGGGGCATCTTCCGCTTCCTCACAGCCTCCTCCTGCATTGTGCCAAGGTTTGGAAATGGGAAATCCTGGTTTGGGGGAAAACAAGGGCTGAGTGTGCTGGGTTTGATGGTCCTGCTGCCCAAGTGCAGCTGGAGAAGTCAGCGCCCCTTTCAGCCTTGGGAGGCCCAGAGCCCACTCATGCCCAGCCTCCCCCACCCCTCCAGGCTGCCGGAGGTCCACCAGCTCCAGGATCGCCCCTTTGTGCTCTCCCCACTTCGGAGCTTCTGAGTTCCCCCTTGGCTCTCCCGGGATCCCCAAACCCAAGATCACCCCTGTACCCACCAGTACCAGGCAATCGCCAAGTGGGACCCTCAAGATCCCTCCAGGGGCATTTGTGGCTCTGCTCTGGGGTCCTGGAAGATCCAAACATCCCCTGCCCCACAAAAAAACCCTCCCAGAGACCCCCAGATGGATTTGGGGCGAGCTCCCCCATCCCGCTCACCTGTGGGTTCCGGAGGGGGTGATGCTGCCAGAGCCCGGGGAGCTGCAGCCTGTGCGGGCGGGCAGGGGAACAGCTTGGTTCTGCTGCTGCTGCTGCTTGTATTCCTCCCGTTCCTCCTCCTCCTGTCTCCCTCCTCTTCCTCCCGCTCCTCCTCCACTCCCAGCCCGGCCCAGGCAGTGCCGACACCCAAATGCAGCCACGCTCTGCTCTAAGGGGGGGGTTCCCAAAGCGGCCCCGTCCTGCGCGGCACTGGGAGCGATACTGGGAAGACTGGGTGGGATCCTGACAGCAGTGGGAAGGAATTGGGAGCGCTTTCCCTGCCAGTCCCACTCTTACTGGGAGCACTGGGATGGAACTGGGAGCAAACAGCGCCCAGAGGCGGCTGCAGCCGGCGCTGGGCGGGGCCAAACTGAAGGGCGTGGTTATGCAAATACAGGAGCGATTGCGCACTGGGATTGGTGGGTGGGAGCAGGGCGGTGTTTCCCTGGTCACGTGGGGGCTGGTGGGGCTGGAACGATGGTGGCAGCATCCGGAGAGAGGGGACAGGGAGCGGGAATGGGGACAGGGAGCAGGAATGGGAATATGGGACAGGGAATATGGAAACCGCAACCGGAGAGAGAATATGAGGTGGAGATTAGGAAGATGAGACCGGGATCGCAAACGGAAATACAGGAATGGGACTGGGAACATAGAAGTGGAAATATGGAAAAGGAAGTGCAACCGGCAGTGGGACCAGGAATATGAGAACGAAACAGGACAGGGAATATGGGAATGGCAACCAGACAAATACTGGACCGGGACGGGGAATGAGACTGGGAATGGGATCCAGACTGGGATGGAGCAGGATGGGACAAGGAGTGCAGTGACATGGGAACGGGTGGGGAGCAAGGAGAGTGACAGCAGGGAGAGGGGGATCGTGGACTGGGGATGTGGGGAACCAGGACAGGGAGTCATGGGAACAGTTCCAGGGCAGGGGGGGCTTGATCAGCTGCCCAAGAAACTCTGCCATGGTCTCCCAGTGCAGCCAGAGTCACTCAGCCTGGGGTGCCCAAAGCCCAAGTCCCACCCAGGAACCCTCAACTCCCTGGAATGTAGCAGCCCCCACATCCCATGGAAGATCTCCACATGTCGTCATCCTTATCTTAGTTCAATGTTTTTATTTTGATCCTGGTTTGGTGTGTTTTGAAAGGACAGAGAGAAATGAAAAGATAATCAAGGCCACATGGAGCCACTAAGAGGTGGAGCCCCCAGCCAGGTGTCTTCCCAACACAGATTACCAGCACCACAGATCACTGGGGCTCTGCCCACTGGGCAGCATGCAGCACAAATACTGCCATGGGGTATGGAACTGTAGCAGTGCACACTTGGGGAACTGTAGCCGTGCACACTTGGGGCACACTTGGGGCACTCACAGGGCTTTCATAGTGGTGCCTCCATTCGTGTTGGGTCAAGGCTGACCTCTGGCTGAAGGTCTTCCCACACTGGGGACATTTGTAGGGCCTCTCCCCCGTGTGGATGCGCTGGTGGGTGACCAGGGTGGAGTTGTGCTTGAAGCCCTTCCCGCAGTCAGGGCAGCGGAAAGGCCTCTCATCCGTGTGAATCCGCTGATGTACGAGGACATCTGAGCTGCTTTGAAACCTCTTCCCACACTCCCCACACTCATAGGGCCGCTCCCCGGTGTGGCTCCTCTGGTGGATCATCAGGTGATCGCTCCGGCTGTAGGTCTTGCCACAGTCGGGACACTCGTAAGGCCGTTCCCCAGTGTGGATCCTCTGGTGAAGCATCAGTTCAGAGCTCTGGCTGAATCTCTTCCCACACTGCCCACACTCATAGGGCCTCTCGCCGGTGTGGGTCCTCTTGTGGACAATCAGGTTCGACTTCTGGGTGAATCTCTTCCCACACTCGGGACACTCGTAGGGCCTCTCCCCGGTGTGGATGCGCCGGTGCTTGACGAGGTCGGGGTTATATTTGAAGCCCTTCAGGCAGTCGGGGCAGCGGAAGGGCCTCTCATCTGTGTGAACCCGCTCGTGTGTGAGGAGATGGGAGCTTGTCTGAAACCTCTTCCCACATTTGGGACACTCATAGGGCCTCTCATTTGTGTGTGTGCGCTGATGCTTCAGAAGAGTGGAGCTTCTCTGAAAGCTCTTCCCACATTCCCCACACTCATAGGGCCGTTCCCCCGTGTGGCTCCTCTGGTGGTTGATCAGGTCAAAGTTGTCTCTGCAGCTCTTCCCACACTCCCCACACTCATAGGGCCTTTCTCCAGTGTGGATCCTTTGGTGGCGGATCAGGGCTGAGCTTCGGCTGAAGCACTTCCCACATTCCCCACACCTGTAGGGCTTCTCCCCATCGCAAAGCTGCTCGGGGACCCCCAGCTCTGAGCTCTGGCCACCATCCCATCCCAGGGTGGGTCTTTCCTCCTCTGACCTCTCTGGGCTACGTTTGCAGCCCCTCCTCGTGAGGGATCTCCAGGGCTTTTCCTCCTCCTTGGATTCCTGCACTGTGGAGCCACTCAAAACGGCCTCATACCCAAGGTTCTGCTGGGGTGACTCATCCTCCCTGCTCTCCATCCTCAGCTCAGTGCCTAGGGGAGGAAGGACAAGGAGAGGATGGGATTTGCCTCCGTGCCACAGGGAAGGGCAAGGAGATGCCCCCAGTGCGTCCCCAGCAGGACAGCTTTGGCAGCAGGGGTGTCCTGCAGCCAGGGGCTGTGCTGGGCTGGGAGACGGAGCAGGAGAGAGGGGGAAAGGGGCACTGACTTCCTCCTCACCTGCCTGGGGGTCCTGGGCCATCTTCCTCTTCCTCGCAGCCTCCTCTTCCTCCTTCCAGCCAAGGTTTAGGAATGGGAAATTCTGCTTTGGTGGTGAAAACAAGGGCGTTGAGTTTGACGGTCCTGCTGTCCAAGTGCAGCTGGAGAAGTCAGCGCCCCTTTCAGCCTCGGGGGGCCCGGACCTCGCTGATCTCTGATTTCCTTCAACCCTCCAGGCAGCCGGTTTGTCCCCCGGCTCCGGGATCGCCCCTCTGCGCTCTCCCTGCTCCGGGGCTCCCCCGTTCCCTCCCGGCTCTCCCTGGGATCCCTAATCTCGAGATCGCCCCTGTGCCCGGAGGGACAGGGCACACGGGACCCTCCCCAGGGGCTATTTGTGGCTCTGCTTTTTGGTCCCGGAAGATCCTAAGATCCCTTGCCCCACAAAAAAAACCCTCCCAGAGACCCCCCCCGATGGATTTGGGGCGAGCTCCCGCTCCCCACTCACTTGCGGGTTCTGGGGGCGGGGAGCGCGATGCAGCAGGAGCCGGGGGAGCTGCGGCCTCAGCGGGGGAACCGCATTGTGTTGGTGATGCTGCTGCTCTTCCTTGCCCGTCTCTTTCTCCACTTCCTGCTCGTCTTTTTCCTTTTCCTGTTTCTCTGTCCCGCCTCTTCCTCCCGCTCCTCCTCCGCTCCCAGCTCGGCCCGGGCAGTGCCGACACCCAAATGCAGCCGCGTTCTGCCCTGGGCGGGGGTTCCCAAAGCGGCCCCGGCGTGCGCGGCACTGGGAGCGATCCTGAGAGCAGCGGGAGGGATCCTGAGAGCAGCGGGAAGGAACTGGGAGCGCTCTCCCTGCCAGTCCCGCTCTTACTGGGAGCACTGTGAGGGAACTGGGAGCAAACAGCGCCCGGAGGCGGCTGCAGCCGGCGGTGGGCGCGGCCAAACTGAAGGGCGTGATTATGCAAATACAGGAGCGATCGCGCACTGGGATTGGTGGGTGGGAGCAGGGCGGTGTTTCCCTGGTCACTTGGAGGCCGGAGGGGCCGGAACGATGGCGGCAGCGTCCGGTGAGAGTCTGTCTGAATTTTCCCTCATCTGCTCACAATCATCATTTGGGGACCACTGAAGAGAAGACCCCCCCTGTCTAGAATCACTGGCTCTGAAGGAGAAAGTCACATGCCAACAGGGCCCTGGGACCTGAGAGCACAGTGCTAAGTTATTGTTTTCACAGGTATTGTTTGCTGTATGCTACACTGAGCCCAAAGAAGGGGCCACTGTGCCCTTTTTGCAACAACAGCCTTGGAAGCTGTCCCACCTCTCGGCCTGGCTGGAGTTCTCCTGAGTTCAGGTGGTCTCCCACAGAAGACCCTCACCTGTTTTACAGCCACCATGACAGACAAGCTGAGATGTAAGAAGCCTCTCCATCAAGGACTGAGACATGAAACCCCTATGTGAGAAGGCCCCTCTGCTCCTTCCAAGGACTGGGACTGAGACTCCCAGCCCGGGGCAGGTGTGTGGGGGAGGCAAGCTGACCAAAGCGAGATGTTTGCCTGCAGGTGTGACCACTGGACCAAGAAGGCAATGGCTCTTGCTTACTACTGAGAACATGGACTACCTGTTACATCTATTCCTTATTGTATCTGTTCCCCCCGCCCCCCATCACAATTTTCAATAGAATTATCATAATAAAAACCTCTGAGTTAGCTAGAGATTTTGAGATCTCCCCAACGTAACAGGCGGATCCTCAACTGGACTGGACCAAAGGACCTCGTCTCTATGTTTGGTAGCTATATCTCCCTCTTTCTCTCTCTTTTTTCTCTCTCTATCTTTTCTCTCCCTTAATCCCTCTATCGCATTTTGCTGTGGTCATTCAAGAAAGGTGCATTTGTTTTGATTATTACTGCAAATCCCCTATGCCGTGTCGGTTTTTTACACCCTGAGATCAGCCCATGAACTATCACAAAACCCGTTCGTAAGGAGGGATCATGACACCACCTCCCAGTGATAGGTTACATACTTTTGGTCGCATCTTGCATTGCAACCTAAGACATGTTACAGTCGACACTGTGAGGTCACACCACCTGCCCTGCGATGTCACAAGGGTGTTCTGTGATGTCACAGCCCGCTCTAGGATGCCTCCTCTGTCACCTCACAGCCCACTCCATGAAGTCATATCACCACCATGTGACATCATAACCTGCTCTATGATGTCATACAATTGAGCAGGGATGTCACAGCCTGCTCAGTGAAGTCACATAGTGCCTTCTATGATGCTGTAGCTGCTTGATGACCTCACATTACAGACTCTGTGATGTCATAGCCCCATCTGTGACCTCACCCAACCCACTCCGTGCTGTCACATAGCCCCTTTCTGACATCACAGCTGCTCTGTGCCTCTATGACACAGCTACAGATGTGCCACTGTGACACAGACCCCTCTGGGACATCCCACAGCCCCTGCCTGTGTTGAGCCTCTGTGAGCTCTGTCTGTGCCCTGCTGGTGCAGCCCATCCCAGCTCAGCAGCACAGACACAGCACCAGGACTTTAATGACACACTGGAGCTTTGTGCTCAGGCCCTGAACATCAGTCCCTGAGAGGGAGCTGAAGAAACCCTAAAGAATCCGTAGTCAGAACCAAACTCCAAAGTTCCTGGTACCTTTAATGGGTCCCACTGCGGGACATAATGGAGAAAGTGTCCCCAGGCCCCAGGCAGAGCAGAGAACTGCAGGCAGTGATGACAGGTGGGGACAAAGAGAAGCCAAGTCTTGGTGCCCTGGGGCACAGCAGGGTCTGTGCCACCAAGGGCTGTGAGGAGACCCCTTGTCCTGAGGCCCTGGGGCCTCCTGGCACAGCCCCAGCCAGGCTGGGCACTGTCAGCCCCTTGTCCTGCCCTCAGGATCCTCCCCCCCATCCCAGTGGCCTCAAGGATCTGCTGGAACAGGTCCCTGGGAAGCCTTGGACAGGATGGCCCTGTGGGGGCTTTCAGGGAGTGCACGTTCTTCAAAGGACTTTGGGTTTTGCTTTTGCATTGGATTTCTGAGAGGTTTGTGCAATCATGGCCTTCAATTATCTGATGTAATGAGTCCTTAAGGTTCTTTGTCAATAACAACACTCAGTGGGCTCATTAATGCTTCAAGGTACTTCCATTTTTCAAAGTACATGGTGTTTCCCTTTTGATAAGGATGCCTTAAGTTTCAGCTTTCATACTTTCCAGATTTGGTACTGCATTAGTATATAACTCTGAACTTCAGATAGAGTGTTACCAAGTTCTCTTCACAGTGTACTTAGACAAAACAATCCTTTTCCAGCCTGAGAACCAAGGATACTGTTGCAGCTTCAGGCCCAAGAAGTATAAACAACAGTGAATTGAGGAGACCAAACTGAGAAGATGGGTCTTCATAACCTGAAGCTGTAACTGGACAATTAACCCTAATATGTAAATGGACCAAAACTTATAAAAGTGTGAAAACTCATGACCGGTCATCCATCTTGCATCCATTTTCAGTCCATCTTGGGTGGAGCCACAGCAGGGCTCTACTGCCCAAAGTGTATCCTTTGAAGGCCTTTTAATAAATCCCTATTTTATTTCTTTAACACTGTCTCACCTCTGTTCCAGGTAGCCTCTTTAGGCATCAATACAGACTCTGTGAGAGGTTTGTGCAATCATGGCCCCAGTTATCTGCTTTAATGAGTCCCTTGAGAGCTTTGTACTGACACTCAGTGGGGCTCATTAATACTTTGAGATACGCAAGGTGTTTAAGGTGCTTTGGACTTTCTTTCCCACACTGAGTCTCTGAGAGGTTTTTGTGCAATCCTGGCCTCCAATTCTCTCCTCCAAGGAGCCCATGAGGAGCCTGTGTTTAGGACAGATCTCAGTGGGACCCATTAATGCCTCGAGACACTTTGGGATTTTTTTCTGACTGACTCCAAAGGTTTGTGCAATCTCCTCTCAGGCTCTGAGATTCCAGGGCTCAGCACTAAATGCACCACAGGGTTCATTAGGATCAAGCCAGTCCTGATAAACCATGGCTCTGCCTTGATTTCCCTCTGGTCTGGTGCTGTTCATTAGAAAGACTTCCTACTGCAGTAATGGAGAAATACTTCAAAGAGCTTCTAAAAAATATGAATTCCTATTTTAAAGATTGTATTTTATTAAATTTCTCTTTAGAGAAGAGTTGATTGCAGCATTCAGTGACTGCTATTGACCCAGGGACTTTTCTCAGGTGGTCAGGCCTGGTCAGAGATGCTGTGCCTTGAGGTCTGACCCAGTGTGGACAACCTTGCTCAACATTCCCAACCCCATCCTGTCTCTCCTCACTCACCTGAGACCTGCTTCGCTTGGAGAACTGGCTACACTCAGGCAAACTGGCCCAAGGCAAAACTGTGAATATCTATACAGACTCAAAATGTTCCTTTGTAGTCATACGTGCACTCAGAGCAATCTGGAAGGAAAGAGGACTATTAAATTCAAGGGCAAAAACATTAAATGTGTAGACGAGATCCTGAAACTGTTGAAGGCAGTCCAGCTCTGAGAAAGTGGCAATCATAGATATCAAAGCACTCAAAAAAGTAAGTTAGGAACAGGAAAAAGGAAATGAGCTGGTGGACAGAGAGGCAAAACAGGCAGCCAAGAGAGAGGTAAAACCAGGAGCCTTGATGGCAAATCTCCCTAGAAGGTGAGCCAAAACATACCAAAGAGGATCAAAGCCTCATTTCTGACCTAGATGGGTCATTTAATAAAGAAGGGTAGGCTCTCACCCCACAAGGGCAACTGATCATTCCTCCTTCTTAATATGGCCTTTGGGTTAGGGAAGAGCACAAGAAAAGGCACTGGGGGGGAGATGCCCTACACCAGTTTCTACTTAGAGGAATTATTGCTAGGAATTACATGCCACTGTGAAACAGGTGACTCTCCAATGCGATCTTTGCCTCCAGACTAATCCCAAAAATACCCCCAACCAAAATTAGGCCAAACTGGGAAAGGCAATGGGCCTGGGCACCAGTGGCAGATTGATTTTATGGAACTCCCAGGAAAAAGGGGGTATAGATATTTACTGATACTAACTGATACCTTTTCAGGCTGGCCAGAGGCATTCCCTACCAGAACAGCCAAGGCTTGGGAGGTAACAAGAATACTAATAGAGGAAATAATACTGCTCTTTGGAGTTCCAGCACCTATATCTAAGAGGGCATAGAGTACCTAAGAGGACAAAGAGGATTAAGAGGACCACATTTTACCTCAAAAATAGTGCAGCAAATCAGCTACCATTTGGGTATCAATTGGCAGCTTCATACCCCATATCATCCTAGCCAAGTGGACAGGTAGAAAAGATGAACCACTTAATCAAACAGCAGATTGTGAAATTAGGACAAGAAACAAACTTGACCTGGCCTCAGTCTCCTTCTCTAGCACTCTTGTGCATACAAATGAGACCAAGGGGAAAAGAAGGACTGAGCCCTTTTGAAACCTTGTATGGGAGACCTTATGGAATATGAAGAGGGATGTCCACATAAGCTGGGGATGAAATTATGACCTCCTACATAGTGGCATTAGGCAAAAAACTACACAAAACTGAGAAATGTGGTTGCGACTTGAAGCAGGGCTTTGGATGGGCCTGTGCATAACACCCAACTTGGAGACTGTGTGTATGTAAAGACTCTTGCAGAAAAAACTCTGGAACCACAGTGGGAGAGACCATTCCAAGTGCTCTTCACTTCCTTCACAGCAGTCAAGATCAAGGAACAAGCGTCATGGATACATCACACCAGAATCAAAAAGGCTCCACAAGGTCACACAAGTACATTCTGGAAAGCTACTCTTTACACGATCCTAATCTTAATCAAAGGATGTGTGAATATGCAAAAACCAAAAAATGTAATACCAATGCGCACCTTCAATGGCATCACCACTATTAAAAAGTTGTGGGGAAGCTTCTATGAGTCTACAGGTATCATTGTTACTGGGAATGCTACAAAGTTTTTAGGGAAAGTATTATATGATACAACAAAATATGGGCCCATAGGTTCAACAGAGGTTGGCAATAAATGCTTAATTAACTCTACAGTTTCTGAATTCTCATTGAAAGCAAAGAACACAGGGGTATACAATTTCTATACAATAATACAAATTTATTAAAATAAAGTCAAGGATCTTGATGAAAACATAACAAAAAATGAAAAGCCCCAACATAAAGAGGAGCTCCAACCTCTAGTTACCAAAATAGGGCCACATGCCATTAAAAATACGGGAATTCAAAAGCTATTGATTAACCCAGAATGGTCCCTGAAGCGAGTTGAAATGGCAATACAGGTGAGTGCTTCTAACATCTGGTCAGAATGTGCTCCATTCCTTAAGACTTCCTTCATGGAATGGACCAATTGGCTACAGAAACTTATACATACAACTTGAAGGAAGAAAAACCTTACAGAGGTACTGGGAACAGGATTGGGGTTTTTAAATACAATAGATTCAGTAGGATTAATGAACAGATTAGCTGTAGCAGGCAGCAATCTAGTTAAATTATAAAAACCTCTGAGTCTTCCTTACTAGCATTAGGCAATAGCCAATGGAAATTATCTAAAGTATTACCAGGGTGGGAAAATATGGAGGAACAGGATCATGAGTTAACAATAACTGCACTAAATACATTCCAAGACAATGTTTCATTAAAATGTTTTCAGCTGTATACAGGCACAACTATGGATGCA